AGACCACTGTCTGCATATCTCGCTCAAGTGAGCTGTTCCTCGCTCAAGCGAGAGAGAGCGGGGCTAAGGAGTATTTAAGAAATTTTCAGCATGAAAATTTCATTTCATTCAAAACTCACGTTCCTTTCTTATTCTTCTCTAAACTCTCTCTTCTATTCTCCAGAGAAAAGCCTCAAAAACTCTGGTTTTTCTTCAAACCTGAGCTTGGACGTTGAGTCTAAACGATTTCAAGAGAACTTCGATAGTTGATCTCTGATCTTCTTCAATATCTCCTTGTAAACTTATCTTTGAGGTAAAGAGGGCTTTATTTTATTATTCTATTTTAATATTTATTTTGTGTTTATTAGAGCACTGTTATATGGACATTTCATAAAAATATGTGGTTGAAATATATGGTGTGAATAATGAATAGAAATATGCTTGTTTGATTGCATGAACTGATTGGTTATTTGGATTGAATATTTGTTACATGCTTATATGCATTATACGATGAGCAATCAATGTGAAATATTATGAAACTTGCTGAGTGATTATGATATGATTTTGTGGAATATGTTTGGATGAAATGATATTGATATGAAGAATTTAATAGTTGTAACTACATTAATAAGGGTATGAGTGAAATAGATTTAGCCTAGAAGTGCTTTACTAAGCACGATCTTATAAATGAGAAAAAAGATAACTTTGAGAATGACGCTATGTGTTGAATATGGATTGAATCTAGTGTGAATAGTTACAGAGATACACTGGGGGTATAGAGTTCGGAGACAATGAAAATCTTGAAAAAATCTAGGGCGGTGAGTGACATTCGCGTATGTGTATACACTATTTCTGAGAGCGAATGTGTCACATGGCTTCATACTCGTTTCCTGACTAGACTCTTGACTATGTCTTTACTAAGGGGACCTATCATTGTATACATTATATTCGTGTACATGGACTAACTGACGACTATTTACCTAGTAGAGTAAGACCTTAAGAAATATTAGAAACATTGATATCTGTGATCACAGTGCACTAGGACTGCATATTAGAATGAGGAAATGGATAATATAAAATAAATTGTTGAGTTGGGTATAGATATGAATATGTTTGCAATATGAATAAGTGTGAAATTGAATATATTATATTTATGTTATATATTATGATTCTATGATAAATGTTTTGTAAATGATAGAATAGACGCTCATCCTTACTAATATTTTCAGGAAAACAGGATGACGGAGTCTAAGGAAAGAATTAGACTAATAGATAGTTCAGTACATAATAGGTTTAATTATATATTTAATGAATATCAAAGAATATGTTATTTTAAATTTGTTGTTCTCGTGGAAGATGAACCTAGGACTTTTGTTATGTTAGAGGTGTATTTCTTTTATAGTATCCCTTTTGATTTTCCTAGGAGTAGAATACATCAAACCCTATGTATCTATATGTACAGTGGTAATATTAGAACTTCGGCAGCTTTCGCCTATCTATTTACCTATCATGACCGTGATAATCTTAGAAGACCATCTAGATGGACCATTGAACAAGTGACTGGTACATAGATCACAGTTGATTCAGGCGATCGTTACCTTAGATCAGATGATGACTTTGATTCTGAAGATTTGGCTAAGATAGAGAGCTGATATGAGGTTGATAAATAGGATCGATCTTCAATGTTGGGTTATGTTTGAGACTACTCTAGGACTTAAAATTTGTTTATATGATGTAATTATTTTACTCATGTAAATATTATTTTAAGTTTCAGCTATTTTGACAAACAGTTTGTAAATTATTATACTTGAGATATGATATGCATCTTCAGTTTTTCAAATTAGAAATTTGATTATGGTTTATTACAGTTTTTAAAAGTATTGTTAATCCATTATTATTGCATGTATAGGGAAAATTTTGTTTACAACAAACCCATTTATAAAGTTACTTTTATTAACCTGTTGTAATAAGATTAATTAATCCTAATTTATGATATATATTATTTTTCTATTATTATTGTCGTACCATTAATATAAAAAAAATAAAAATTTTGTATAAACAAATCTATCTTAAAGAAAACTTCATTGATTTGTTATAATAAAGTCAATTATACACAAAATTTGTATTTTATCTCAAATTATTAGAGATGAAATATTTATTATATGAATTTAAAATATTAGAGTGTTACAATTACTGTATTATTTATATGATAATAGTTTTTTAAATATATTAAAAGTATTTATTTATATATAAAATTATATTAATATCTAAATTATAAAATATATATTTTAAAATTTTTATATTAAAACTTTATAATTAACTATTTTTATAGTATTTTTATTAATTATTGATAATATTTAAATTTAATAATAAAATCTTGATACAATATTATTTTATAAGTTAAACTTGATAATCAATAAAAATATAAATTTAATATTTTATTAATATATATTTATTTATTTTGAAAGTTAATACTTATTAAATAATTTAAATATTAACATAAAAAATATTAAATATATTAAATATAATTATAAATGAAAATATGATGTATTTGTAACTTTTTTAGTTTAATTGAATTTGTAATATAAGAATTAAAAATAGAATTGAATCATGTAGAAAATAAAAATGATGTATAAACTTTCGGTTAGTATATTAAAATACTTATATCAAATAGTTAAAAAATAAGTAGTTAAAAAATTTGAAATAAATATTTGTAATATAACTTTTGGTTTGTAGTATAATTTTTTTTATATGAAATAAATAGTTAAAAAATTTAAGATAAATATTTGTATAACTCAAATAAATAAATGAATATATTAAAATTATTTGTTTCACACAAATAATTTTTTTTATATAAAATTATATTAGTATCTATAAAGCTTGTTTTTGAAATCAATAATAGTCACAATTTAAATATTTTATATTAAAATTTTATAATAAATTATTGTAATAATATTTTTATAATTTATTAATAATATATAAATTTATGAATGAGATCTGAATACGATATTTTTTTACATCTTTAATATGATAATTAATAATATTATAAATGGAATCTTTTATCTATATAATAATAATACTTTTATTAAGGGATAATAGTCATTAAATAAAAATCTAAATATTTAATAAACATATTAAAAAGGTTAAATATGTTAAATTTAATTATACATTATAACTTATTATGTGTACAATTTAATTTAATTTAATTTACTTTTAAATATAAGAATAAAAATTAAAATAACTTATTTAAAAAATGTTACTAAAACTCTAAGTTAGCTTACTAAAATAATTTATATTAATTTTTTTATATTGCTAATTAATTTAAAATTTATATAGCTTAATATTTTTTATAAATAATATATTTTTAAAAAAATTAGTATTATATTTTATCATGTGCAATGCACAGAACATATATATATATATATAATAATTGTGAAACCTCTCATTGCATAATGTAAAATTATATAATATTTTATTAAAATTATAATATTTAATAATTTTAATGTATTAAATTATATTTTTTAATAAAAATTTATTATATAGAATTTCTTAAGGATGCACAATACTGTACAAATAAAAAATTGTTATTATTATTAAACTTGAATGACGTTTAGCAAATTAAACAATTCTAAAATAAATATGATGTATAGCCTGCATGTTATGAACTGCCTTGCCATTACATTCAACTCAAACTCAGAATTACATCAATTTCCAAAGTTTCAAAATGCAACACGAAATTCTCGGCTCCTGTATATATTGCAACTGAAGCAACAAAATGCCTAAATATAGTACACTTTACCCTTGTTTTTGCAACCCTTACATGTGGTCTAACAACACCTTTGTCTTTGTCGTTATGCTATACTTATGATTCATGTCATGAGCTTCAGGTCAGGTATAACGGCTTAAAAATTATATTTTATACATGGTTCACTTATTTAAGGCTAAAGTAGATGATGTATCGTAGTCTCTACTTTACTATTCATTCTCATTGTAATATGCCAGAGCATGTGCTTAACAAAACCTTCAATTTTTTTGGCTTCCATTCAAGGTTATTTTGTTTTCTTCATTCTCCCACCAAGTAAATCTATCCCTAGCCTTATCCTTAAGTCATTTGCGTATGGGATTCAATGATATACTATTGGTTGGTGAAGCTTTTTATCTGATAAACAGTTTCCTCATATATGAGTTTCCGGAACTTTATAAAAGAGGTGATCTTTTGTTATCAACAAAAGCATATGTGACATTAAATTTTTTTTTCTCCACTTGATTAAAATTGTCTCTTAAATTTACTGTTGTTAAGATCATTAATTTTAATTAAGTGGGTGTCACTGGTCTCAACAACTTTGGAAACAGTATTTCTGTTTTCTTTTTCTATTTTTTTGTGCTTTTCCAACTTTCAGATGCTATTGATTCTGAAAAATGATGTCACATGTGCAGTTATGCAAGATTTCCTCTTTATTATGAGACTTTTGAGGATTGCTTTATTCTGTTTTGGTCTGTTAATTGTTTCCTCAAATAAGTTACATCAAAAAGTGTAGATTGTACATAGCCTCTCTTATTTTATCATGTTCATAGGCCAAGTGATTTTCTACATTTGACGACAAGGGCTCAATTGTTTGCTAAACCACACAAGTTTACAAGTTGCACTAAACATTCTCTTAAAAAGTACAATTAGTCCTATATATCCTTTTACTATGTAACACATTGAGTAAACTTTCCTCCAATCATCCCTTCTTTTTCATCCTTTCTTTACTAAAAGAGACAGATTTTACCGTATTTCGGAGCCCAATACATTTCTTTTAAAACATTTGGTTAGTATAATATCTTTTGTCTTTTAATTAGTGGGTTTGCCCGCCCCACTTTTTCCTCCAACATAGTTAATTTTCATCCATAAATACCCTTCTTGCTAGCGTGTGTCCTCCACACTTTCTCCATACACCCTCTTCTTATTATTGTTATTCTTGCTCATCATCCATCATCTCGTTGGTTATTTTTCCTCAAGTAGATTAATCTTTCTTGTCATGGGATCCCTGAGCCCAGCCAAAATTGTCCTTCCAAACAATGACCTTGAGCAACAAACAATAACAACAACTCTAGAGATTGAAACCAAGGACTTTGACTACTCAAAAAGATCTCAATGGCTACGTGCTGCTGTTTTGGGAGCCAATGATGGGTTGGTCTCAACAGCATCTCTTATGATGGGTGTTGGAGCAGTCAAACAGGACATTAAGGCCATGATCTTAACTGGCTTTGCAGGGTTGGTGGCAGGAGCATGTAGTATGGCCATAGGGGAGTTTGTGTCTGTGTATTCACAATTGGACATAGAGGTTGCTCAAATGAAGAGAGAGAAAGAAAGGGAGCATGGTGGTGGAGAACGTGAAGATGCTAATGATGAAGAGAAAGAGAGTTTGCCAAACCCTTTACAAGCTGCAGCAGCCTCAGCTTTAGCCTTTTCTGTTGGTGCAATAGTGCCATTGCTTGCAGCTTCTTTTATAAGGGAATATAAGGTGAGGCTTGGTGTGATTGTGGCTGCTGTAAGCTTTGCTTTGGTTGTGTTTGGTTGGTTAGGTGCTGTGTTGGGCAAGGCTCCAGTATTGAGGTCTTCTGTGAGGGTCTTGCTTGGGGGTTGGATGGCCATGGCCATTACTTTTGGGCTAACAAAGTTGATTGGATCAAGTGGACTTAATTAGTTCTCTTTGTAAAGCTTGTTTTGCATGTATGTCATGTTAATTAAGGATCTATATATTCTCTCTTTTTGTTTTGTAACTTATTCATATTCTATCTACTTTCTCTTCCTGTTGTGGCCCTTAATTTTGTTTTGTTTTTTTTCTAAATATAATGAGATGAAACGAGTTGAATAAATTTTGGTAATTAACACAGAAAGAGGGTAAGATGGTTCAAAAAGCCTTTTGGAATTTGTACACATGTAATTCTCTTTAGTATGATGATTAATAAAGATTGATCTTTTTCATTTGATGTGGTGGGTGGAGATATAATCATATAGTTTTTGGTGAGTCTTTTCTTTTGGGTGAGTAAAGATATAATCATATTTGAATTGGTGTAGTTTGATAATTGATAGAGGAAAGAATAAAAAATAGATGAAAATTATTAACAAGTTCTAAAATTAAATAATGATATGCGGAACTTTTTATTTAATTTTTTTAACGTATTTTTAATACAAGTTATTTAATGCCGAAGAATATATCTATATGTCATTGCCTGATTTGAAAATTTTATGATAAAAATATAAGAAATTTGATATAAGTTTTATTTTAGAAAAAAATTGTACTCAGATAAGAAATATTGACTCTGTAGAGAAGAGAAAAAGTGATGAGCCATTTCTAGCAACATAAAATAATTCAGAATAATTTGAACTTGTTAGAAGTTTATGGGAGATTTGTAAGGATTGTGAAGTTATCACACATGAAACACTTCAAGAAAGGGAAAACTTTTAAAGCTTGCATAGAGCCATAAATAGAACACGACTAGGCCCCAACTTAACAATGAAACTCTTCATGGTCCATGGGTCAACCTCACTTAGGTGAGTTATGGGTGAATTAGATGAAAATTAATTTAACCTAATTTCCATTCTTTTGAATTTTTTTACCCAGTTTACTTAATTTGTGGGTTAAATTAGGCTAATTTGCAGTGAGTTGGGCTAACTCAAGATTTTTTTATAGCTAATTAATATTTAAAATTTAAACAAAACAAAATCTTACTTAAGTGATACTGAATCAGTTACTACTCAGACTAATTTCTATTAGTATATCTTATATATTTTAATTCATCATGAATTTTATTCATACTTACTGATTGTACAATTTTTGTGAAAACATATTTTGTTAACACTACGCCAAAAAAAAAAAAAACTAGATACAAATCCTAATTCAGAAAAACAATAGAAAATTTGAAAAAAAATTTAAAAATAAAAAAATGAATTTAAAATAAAAATACATAAGATATATTAAATAATAAAAAAGAGTAATTATTTCCTGAACATTTAGCATTTTCCTTTAAACAAAGGCTCATGCAGCAGATTTCACTGTTAATCTGGTAGTAATCATCTTATCCTGTTTGGATGTCCAAAAAGGTGACGACTAAAGAGGAGAAAATTTCAGAATCTATTGCATAGTCTTCTTCTTATTATATTATTTATTTTAATAAATTTTTTATTTTAAACTTTTTTAATTCTTATATTTTTGTTTTCAAATTAATGTGTCTCAACAAAAAAATTAACATGTAACAATGCTTTAATGGGCCACGTCCACAATAAAAACTAAAAACTAAAAATACAAAAACATAAAGACTAATAAAAATTGTTTAAAAAGACTAAAAATAAAATGAAAAATCATATTGAAGAAATAAAAGTTAAAAATTTTAAACAAATTAATACTTTAATACTTTAATTTAAAACTTTAATTTTCCAATTTTTTATCAGCTGGGTCTGTGTTTAATTTTAATTTAGTCTTATTTAATAATTATAATGATAATAACTGCCACAGTTAACAAATTTTCTTAATTTCTGGGAACAAAAGGTTGGTATAATTGATAAATAAAACTAATAAAAAAATCAAAATAAAATGAGAAAAAAAACAGTTTTATCAAAATTTAACCCTAAGGATCCACAATTATTTATGCGGTAGTTGACCAATTGTCTCCTTTTTAAGAGTCCTTTCCTATTCTTAAAAGAAGAGGACAAAATCCAAAGGAATTTCTTTTTTGTACTTTCCTATTGAGAATCCTAGCACATTACTTGTACGATATTATTTCAATATTTTTCAATCCAACCAACACGTTTTTTCCTTTTTTTAATTCGAGGCTTAAAGAGACACATAGCTTAATTCTATCTCCAAAATTTCATTTGTACAAAATTTGAAACTTCCAACTTCTATATACACTAATTTTATACTCAATCTTACAATGTCCCTCTCAACAATGATTTTAGACATCATGATAAGAAAAAGCATTGCTAATTATTGTTTGGAAATAAAAATGAAAAACACTGAATGCATAATACAATTTCTATCATTAATTTGTCATGTTCATTCCAACTTGCCTTAGGTATAGGACAAAAAAGTTCATAACCTTTATTTATTCTCTTTGGTGGGATCCACTTTATAGGAAGTAACTTGCTTCAACGTTTGCTCTTGTGAGGTTGTGTCGTTTGTTTAGTGCAATTAGAGTAAGAAGAAACTAGTCTTAAATTGTTTAGCCCATGCTAATCATGTTAATTATTCATCACTCGAGCTCTAGCCGTATTTTTAATATTATAAAGGTAATTGTAAAAGAAAAATATTTATTACTAGTATGAGGATTATATTATAAGTATAGATCCGTAATGTTTATTTAGAGCTTTGGGTGTGTGTGAATTGTTATCTAAAGAGTGTGAGGATTTGTTAGATAAATTATATATACTAATTATTATTGGTTAATTAATTTAACTCTTAAATAATGATAAAAATAATAATTTTATTTTGTTTACGTAACAATTTTTTATTGTCATTTAGTGGGTTACTACGGTTGAAACTTGAAGCTCATTATTTATGAGAATTACTTTTTATATTATCTTTTAATTTACTTCACTTCTAAAATTGAATTTCAAAATAAATCCTCTTTCAAATGTTTGATTTCGTAACATATTAAGTCTTCTTTCAAAAATATAATTTTAGAAGTAAATTTTCAATTATTTTTACAATTTTGGAAGTATAAATTACTTCTGTAATTAAATTTCATAAATGTATTTAATAAATTTTGGAACTAAAATTCTAGAAAAATGTTTAAAAATACTTTTAGTCTTTTAATTTCAAAATATACTAAACATTTTCGTAGAATTAAATTTTAAAAAATGATGTAGAAAAGGGTATTATAGTTAGCCAAAAGAAATGATGTAAAAAGTAATTTGCATGTATTGTTTCAATTAACTTTCTTTGTTAGCCAACAAATAATACATACACACTTTTTTCTCCCTTACAAAGTTAAATTATAAATTTTGTTTAAGAAAGAATTTCTTCATTCTTGTTCCTTTTCATACATTTTATTCACTTGGTCCCGTGGATGTTTAGGTCCAAACCCATGTTAATGTTGGGCAAGATTGAGTTTGATGTATGACTCTATTGTCATTGTTTTTTTTCTTAAGAAAAGAAATTGTATACGGCGGAAAAAAAATGGTTTTGACCCCAAAAAATAGAGAAAGCAAGGAAATTGTATTCAATTGAATTTAAATTGAGTTTGAATATTTGAAAATAATTTTAAAACTTGATGTGGGAAAATAAGAGGAAAATGTTCAAGGAAACTATCCCGTATAAATTTTAAGTGATAATGGGGCTGCGCAGTACATGTTTCATTATTTGCATCTTATGCGTTCAAATTCCAATAAAATCAAATATCATGTAGGAAAACAGGGTCATGGTTTTTTCAAATCAGCATTTTGTGGAAAAATTTCTATTTGTACTACTTTCTGGTTTTTGCTATCCATACTATTTTGGCATATAAGCATATTACTAACAGTTTTTCCTGGAAAGATTAACTTCACTCATATAAACACAATCACACGAGCTTTTGGCATATTACTTAACAGTTTTCGTGACAATAATATTTCCAAAATGCATCTACAATTGTAATTTTGCTTCAGAGCTCTGCTACGAACCATCGCAAGCATAGGATTGAACTATCATAAACTACATTTTGGCAATGTGAATAAGCCAACTCAGAAAAAATTGGCAACAAAAGATTTTGACAATAAAATATGTGAAAAGACAGAATGTGCTGCAAAGGTGCTCAAGCTTCTCTTGAGGAGTTTGATATTCATCTCTAATATGTTTATGGAACCCTTCCACACAGGTGAAACCACCACCACCACCATTCTGATCTTGTGCATCAAAAGCTTTCACACTAGTGTCAAGTGCAAATCAGTAGACTGTAATATTCTTCACTCCAAACACGTGTTGACACTTTTGGCATTTCAAATAGTAACCAACCTTACAGAAATTCAGGGATTCAAGTAACATGGGAAATCCAACCTCCACATATTGAGATACACCTTTCAGAAAACATTTATCACCCTAAATCCATCTTCCCATCACACACATTAGTGACAACCTGTGCATAGAGCAGTTTGTATTCAATGTCCTACAACATAATATTAATGGAAAAAGCAAATCACTAGATATGTCCTAGCAGGGAATTTGAAATGGCTAGCAGTTGAAGGGTATGCAGCATTTCTCAATTATCTGTCAGTATACACCTAGAAAGAGTAATAAGTGTTGAAAAGTCAAAAACGGTGTGCCATTTTCGGTACCTAACATTTGGTTGAATGTTAGCGTTTTTGGTGCCTAACTTTGGTTGAAAAATTAGCAAATTGTGATGCTTTGTTGCCTATAAATACGAAGCTCTTCCATCCATTCATCGCATCCATTTCTGAGAGAAAAATAGAGAGCAAATAAGAGAAAGAAAAAGAGAGAAAATAGTTTAGCTTTTGGGTATAATTGGGTTATGGGTTGTGAGTATTTTTAAGTGTTATGTAAACACTGAGTGTATTCCCTTTTTCAGTAATATATCTGCAGCAGTCCGGAGACGTAGGCATTATTGGCTGAACTCCGTTATTAATTTTGTGTGTGCAAATATTCCGCATTTATTTTTCACTTCCACAAATCTGACATTACAAGAAAATTTGGCGTAATTTTCTCAACAACTGGTATCAGAGCTGGTTCAAAATTTTTGCAATTTTTGTGAGGTACTGTTCATGTGAATAATAAAATTCTGCAATCAACCGTTCACACGAATAGTAAACTCGCAAGTACTGTTCACGTGAATAGTGAAAAATTTGTCAGCATTACAAATTTGTTCACAGACGTGTTCTAAACACAGTGGTATACAGAAATTGTAAGAAACGATTCTGAGGAGAAGTCAGATTTGAGTGGGAGTGATGGCCGCAGATGAAGGAAAGGTGAAAATTGAAAAGTTCGATGGTACAGACTTTGGCTTTTGGAAGATGCAGATCGAGGATTATCTGTATCAGAAAAAGCTGTATCAACCTCTCACAGGAACAAAGCCAGAGGGCATGAAAGAGGACGGATGGAATCTTCTCGATAGACAAGCCCTTGGAGTCATCCGATTGACGTTATCCCGTAATGTTGCTTTCAACATTGCAAAAGAAAAGACCACGGCGGATCTTATGAAGGCTCTTTCCGACATGTATGAAAAGCCGTCTGCTTCAAATAAAGTTTATTTGATGAAGCGGTTATTCAACCTTCGGATGACAAAAGGCGCATCAGTAGCGCACCACATAAATGAGCTTAATACAGTCCTAACCCAATTGAGTTCAGTTGAGATTGAATTTGATGATCAGGTACGAGTATTGGCACTTTTGTCCTCTCTACCAGAAAGTTGGAAGACTACTGTCACAGCTGTGAGTAGTTCGACGGGAGACACTAAGTTGAAATTCAATGACGTTCGTGATCTGATTCTCAATGAAGAAATCCGACGAAGAGAGTCAGGAGAATCATCAACCTCTTCAGTATTGCATACAGAGTCAAGAGGAAGAAATTTAATCAGAGGAAATGGACGTGGTAAATCAAAGGATAGGAGGTCCAAATCTAGAAGTCATCATAGTTCCCACAAATCGAAGGCAATCGAGTGTTGGAATTGTGGGAAATCCGGGCACTACAAGAATCAGTGCAAGAGTGCACGAAAGAATCAGGAGGCGAAAGACGAGGCAAATGTTGCTTCCACCTCTGGAGGAGATGATGCGTTGATATGTTCTTTAGAAAGCAAGGAAGAGTCTTGGGTGTTAGACTCTGGAGCATCTTTTCATGCCACTTCGCAGAGAGAATTTTTCAAGAACTATGT